CTCCTACCTCTGCAGCCTTCGACAACGATCTGAGTCCACAGAACAGCGTCCCTGGTCTCCTTAAACCACGCTCCAAATTACATATTGGAGCCTTCAATGTCCGCACCCTCCGTCAAATTGGCCAACAGGCTTCGTTGGCAAAGACTCTAGCAACTCGAGGCATGGATGTGTGCTGTGTTTGTGAGACACGCATACAGGACCCAAGTGTGGTTATTCACCTGACCTCTCCTGACCAATCTGGTGAATCTGCAAAATTCACCCTTCGAGTTTCTGGAGATTCGATAGCTAGCTCTCGTGGTCTTGCAGGTGTAGGTATAGCATTAAGCACCAGGGCAGAAAACTCACTACTAGACTGGATCCCAGTTGATAGTCGCCTCTGCGCTATGAGGCTGAACGGCACAGTGAGAACTAAAAGGAATAGTGAGACTCGCCGTTGTCTCTTTGTAATCTCTGCTTACGCACCCACTGACTGTAGTTCGGATGAAGTGAAGGACGAGTTCTACCATAAACTGTCTAACCTCCTCTCGAAAGCCAAACGTTCGGACGTAGTGGTTGTTGCAGGTGACCTCAACGCACAGGTGGGTAGACTGAGTGAGGCAGAAAGGCACTTAGGTGGCACTTTCGGAATCCCAGCTGAACGTACAGATAACGGTGATCGCCTATTACAACTATGCTCAGATAACCGCCTATTTTTAGCCAGCACAAATTTCAGACATAAAGAAAGGCACTGTCTGACCTGGCGTCCACCGAGCTCGACTCAGCGATGGACACAGATAGACCACATTGCTATTAGTCATCGCTGGAGAGGATCGGTGGAAGACTGCCGCTCCTTCTGGAGTACGTGTTTGGACAGCGATCATGCGTTGGTCCGAGCACGTATATGCCTGCGTCTCAATGGACGTAGAAAAAATTTGGCAACAAAACCACTACGAGTTCTGCTGGACAACGAAAACACCAAAGCCGTGTTCAGTGAGAAGTTGGCTAGGCAGTTATCGGAACAAAAGACTGTCACTCATCCAGAAGAAGCTTGGTGCCATCTTCAGTCTACTGTAAAAGCAGCACTGGAGACTGTAGCCGACTCCAAGATAATGGCTAAAAAGAGCCAGTGGATATCAGCAGCTTCTTCCAAACTAATGGATGCACGTGAATGCATCCCTGCAGGCTCTGAGTACAATGAAGAGCGAGCGCAACTTAAAAATAAACTGACGAAAAGTCTGCGCAACGATCGTGAACAGTGGTGGGCAGCAAAGGCTAAAGAGATGGAAAAGGCAGCGGCGATCGGTAACAGTAGACAGTTATTTAGACTTATTAAGGAGACTGGGGGGAAATGGTCAACAACAGTTAGTGAGGTTATAGCGGAGAAGGACGGATCGGCGATTCACTCGCAGGGAAGGCGACTGGGACGATGGGCAGAACACTTTGAGGAACAGTTTAACTGGCCTCCAGCCACCATTGCGCTGCCCGCTATCCAGTCGGACCCTGAATGGGACATAGAGACAGGTCCCCCAACACTAGAAGAAGTTGAGAAAGCGGTAGGTAGCCTGAAACGGGGAAGGGCAGCAGGACCAGACGGACTACCTGCTGAGGTATACAAGAATGGTGGTAGAGTTCTCTTAGTCAGGCTAACGGAAGTGTTAGCCAGTATATGGGAATCAAATACGATCCCCTCCGACTGGTCTAAGTCACTGATCATCCCAGTCTTCAAGAAAGGCGAGAAGTCCTCTTGTGATAACCACAGAGGAATCAGCCTGACAAACATAGTGTCTAAGATCCTAAGTTCTATAATTCTCCGACGCCTGAGTGGAGCTCGGGAACAGCAAGCCCGAGAAAACCAGGCAGGCTTTAGACCTGGCCGTGGATGTATCGACCAAATATTCACACTGCGCCAGGTCCTGGAACATAGGCATGCTTACAGACGCCCGACAATAGCTGTATTTCTCGACCTGAAGGCGGCATTTGACTCCGTTGATCGAGAAGTCTTATGGCAGTGTCTGTCACTGAAAGGCGTGCCTAGTAAGTACATCACCTTATTGAAAGCTCTCTACTCGAACACTTGTGGGCATGTTAGAGCCTATGGTGAGTTGTCCAGGGAGCTATACTCATCAAGTGGTGTCCGTCAAGGATGCCCACTATCCCCATTCTTATTTAATTTTATCATAGATATTCTTATGGAGGTTTCCCTCTCGTCACCTAATTACAAAGACGTTGACCGGATCACAGGTGAATTTTCCTTAGATCTAGAATATGCAGATGACATAGTCCTGTTAGGTGAAGACGCTGACAAGATGCAGAGTCTTCTGAACACTTTGAGTGGGAATTTGAGAATGTTTGGGATGCGATTTTCACCACCCAAATGCAAATTTTTGCTCCAGGACTGGTCTTCAGCGGTACCGCGGTTAACAATAGAGAGTGAAGTGGTTGAGTGTGTTGACCACTTCACTTACCTGGGAAGTAGGATCAACCCGGTGGGTTAGTTGCCGATGAGATTTCTGCACGGATACAAAAGGCTCGATTGGCTTTTGCCAATTTGCGCCACCTATGGCGCCGCCGTGATATTCGTTTGTCTATTAAGGGTCGCGTGTACTGCACAGCAGTCCGCTCTGTTCTACTGTATGGCTGTGAAACATGGCCATTGAAAGTGGAAGACATGAGAAGGTTACAGGTATTTGACCACCGTTGCCTTCGTAGTATAGGACGTATTCCGTGGTGTCACCATGTGAGTAATGCAGAAGTTAGGTGTAGAGTTTTAGGGAGAAGAGGTAAGTCAGTCGACGAGGTTGTGAACCTTCATCGACTGAGATGGTTGGGACACGTACTACGTATGCCTAGTCACCGATTGCCTCGTCACACAATGTTGGCTGAGGTGGGTTCAGGCTGGAAAAAGGCCCGAGGTGGCCAGACTAAAACATGGCACCAATGTATGAAGTCTCTGACTGTTGGTTTAAGCCATGTAGGACGATGCAGACTAGGTGGTTGGGGTCCACGGGACAAGAGGAACCAGTGGTTGGAGACCCTAGGTGATATGGCTCAGAACCGAAGTCAGTGGCGCAGATGTATACACACATTATCCTCATCTTAACAACGCTATACCGAATCTCACTATTTTGTCACTCCTCTTTCCTTTCTTCTCGTACTTTATATTTCTTTTGACTGCATTCACTTATCTTCATCCTTCACCTCACTACCTTTTTACTTGATGTGCTGATATGAGGTGTGGCAACTCGGACCGTTACGCAGTAATGCCTGGTCCTATGTTGATAATGATGATGATGATATCTACGCATGGTTAATCTTACAGGTTAGCACATTTGCATACCCGGTTCAGTTTTAAACGGTCAGACAAGTTCTTAATACAATTTATACTTGCAAACAGCAAATTCGAAGTGAAACAACACGACATCCCTAGAGTCTGGTCAGATCTTTATCATTAGTTAGTGTAAATGTTTGACCTTTTAGTAAGTTTGGACTTGTACATCTGACTATTTCACGGTATACCTGCTAATTATGTGTATTTTATCGAGAAAAGGTTTCCATCTTTGAAGCAGTAAATGAAATTGGTCACAGTGGTGGAATTATTTCGACAGTTCAAAAGTTGAACAAAAGATACATTACAATTACACTAAGATATAAAAAAGCTACAGAGCAGTGTAAATATATACAAGTGTACATGTACTATCATTCGGATCCAAATCAGCGGAAGAGATACGGGAGCAGACATCTTCATAAAATACGTTTTTGAGTCCTAGAAGTGATGCAAACAGTAAACTACACCAAGAAAGACTGATTTCAACATAACGCTCAGGAATTACAACAATCCATACAAATATGGGTGGGTCAAAGAGAAGTGTGGACAACATAGACCAGTCAAATCGAGTAGACAGTACCTAAACATGTTGGCATAACAATAAAATGATTAAACAGGACGAGGTATATCATTTTGTCCAAGACATTCGTGACAACTATGATCTGGAAGTTTATAATCACAAACATTCACAAGGCTAACAATGAATAATGTATCAACAATCAACTTTCAGCTTTTACTATGGTTATCACACGATTGTACGAGTAAATAAATACGATTTTGCAGCTAACTAAGTTGAACCATATCAACCTTGTGACCGAATCTTCGTAAGCAGAATAATTTAAGTGGACAAGCACATAACTATGTATGTACTGTTCACATTTGAAAGCACTATATCTATAACTGCCATGTTTACTTTAAGTCCATAAAGTGCTACCACACAAAATGATATGACCACATGCTAAGTTTCTGCTGTATACTGGGTTAAAGTCAGATGAAATAATAAGTTACAATTTCGAATCATTGAGTGAGACGAAGATTAACAAGCCTTCACACTCGGAAATCAGCTGTTAAATTAAAAATATAGGCCGATTTCCCATTTAGTCTCTGGTTATGCAATATTATGAGCTATAAAGTTAAATTTCTTTGTGTTTTTTTATAGTTTTTCAGTTCAATTTTGAATTCTATGCGACTAGATATACATATCCTTGTCAAATATACGCTACACAAGTATATGGTAAGTGTAAGGAAGTGATAAAATATAAAACAGATTGCACTAGAACAATACTACGCGAGTGAGTTGCGGTTCAATGTATATCTACTACTAGTAAAAGACTATCACACTTAAGAATGCTGTTCTGATATGGATAGTCACTTGAAAAACAGAAACTTCAAAGTAAACTCAAAATACACAGCTATCAAAATCATGGACTTGGTTCGCAGTGTATACATAATTTCTACAAATTTACTGATTACCATCACCGAAACGTTGCACTTTAAATGAATCTGAACATCATAAAACTGAACAAAGGAAGGTTAGACTGGGAAGATGTTGGGCATAAGGCAGTTAAGATTTGTTTACATGTGTAAGAACTAGGCTATACGGAATGTTTGTTACACAACCTCCAAACTATATAAATAACTTCAGGATTATTCAAAATTCAAAAATAAGAAAACAAAAATATTAACATGAACTCACTTTTTCTTTTAAAATAATTTCCCAGTAATTTCGGAGGAAAGCAATAGCTGAATCTGGACGTTCAAAGTTCGTCAGAGTGTATGTTTCCTGTGGAATCAAAGTTGTGATGTGTAAATAAGTTATAGAAGTGTAGAAATAAATTTTATGTCCATGGTTAAAGATGGAAGAATGAAAAACGTTATTTTGCTTAAATGTACTTACATTACTGGTTGTGTATATGTTCACAAACTTTTCATCATGAATTTTAAGCTCTACAATCTGGCTAAAAGGGAGAGTTGTCTAAAAGTAAAATAAGGCAGCTAATATTCATACCAGCATCTTTCGTTTCGGACGATGCACCAGATTCAAGGCAGAATGGCATACATAAAGTTTCACAGGAGTGTTGATATTTTGGCTAATTAGGTCACATTTATAAGCTTGACAGATTATTATATGTTTCCAAATAGCAAACCTTTTACGGCAAAATCATTCTTAAAATATTTTCGGCGTATTTTCTTCTGCATTGAACTGGATTTTACAGAATCAGCTGCACTAAAACACGAGCTCTGAGGTTGGGAGTCTTGAATCATAGCCATCGAGAAACCAATTTAGTTAAAGTATGGCAGCAATACACGTGTGAATGATATGTAAAACGAACCACTTGATACTGCACTAGATCCCAAAGACAGTCATTATAAATGTAACCAATCGTCCAATGTATCATCCGATCGGCCTTGATGGCTGAAGGTTAGCCTTAAAATGATTGTTTAAAACAACAATCTTGTTACAGCCTTTTACCTGTAAGCAAGCCGTAAATCATCTCAGAAAGCCTGTGTTGAACAACTCAGCGTTTTGAAGCTCCCTTGCAACAGAATTTCTGCGAGTGTGGCAGTTCACCATCTAACAACCAAATACTTTAGGTAAAATCGGTCTAGAGAACATGAGGAGAAACTGACAGTACCTGGTCTGTGCCATCTGAAATACAGAAGGAGTGGAGGGAACGAGATAATACTTTACAATACCTTTGACACCCATGAACAACCGCTCCTTTACCAATATAGCCATAGTTGTAACATGACTCTTAGAGAATACTCACGCAGAATTAGGCTGGGAGATAGCGGATTAGATGTCAGACACAATTACCCTCTTACTGCAGAAACGGTCCAAGCTACTTCACTTAAATCTTTCAAACCTGAACTTTGCACTAACCCTTTGGTGTACTACTTCTTCTCGGCTAAGACATGGTCTTCTTTTAAGTGCTTGTATAGGCCGATATTCCGGAAGAGCCGCTTTGGAAGCTGTTGCTTCAAGGCTGAGGTCGTCACTGGGGAATCGCTTAAGAATGACAGGAGGAGAAGCAATGGTAGCAGACTATCAGTTTCTGATCTCGCCAATCTAAATATTAGAATTCGGCCATTTTCTTCCAGTTTTACTGCTTCAGCAGATGCAAAGGGCATTTCAACTTCTCTATCCTCAGAATTCGGAGGCTGTAACAAACTGGGATAGAAATTTTCCCTTGTGTTCTTCGGAACCCACGAGTGAAAAAGCAGCGGAAATGCATGCAAGATCCGTAACCCATATGCAACTCCTTTTTGTAAAGGCGCTATAAGTTGTGGGAGTTAGCATAAATCGGATTACATGGGAATTTGAAGTAAATGTCTGGCTGCTACGAGTCAAAGAAATGTGATAAAAGCAGGTGCGAATGGAGAGTGAAAAGGCTAGAAAATTCAGCTTATGTGTTATGGTATGCCAAAAGATGGATGAAAATTGATGAGCTTAGCTACCAATTATATGGGTTATCGGTAAGCCATACACGCTGACTATTTTGCACAATAATCTCTCGAATGTATCCCCTGAGGCAGCAAATAATCTATGTCTGTGTGCAGCATTCCAATACGTACACTCAACATCTCACCTTCGTATTAACACTCTGGGAAGCAGTTATTATCACCGAGTTCCTATATTGCAAGTTCTGCTTTGGTATTAATATTTCGAAGGTATGAATCAACCAATGAACAATGTCATGCACTGTTGTCCCACTGCCATATCATCTATGGCATGTCAGGCTTTAGGAATTGTCCTTAAGCGAGCCAGACAGATGCAGATACCAATTACCAATTACTCGTACTTTTAGTGTACCCACAAATTCGAGACCAAGAAAGAACACAACAGAGTAGTCAGATGGAATGGTGTATCCAAGAGGCTATGTTAAAGTACTGACGAATCCCGACAAGTTGGCCACGAGATCGATTACTAGAAGGGCAACGCAACACGAGAGCATACTAAATGGTGTAGATGCCTGACCGTGTGCCTTCAGCCTAGCGAGTCCGATAAAACCAAGAGGGTCCGCATAAATGTTGAGTCTCGTCGAAGCGCAGGCCATCGGTTTTGGTGAGGTGTATACCGCCTTACAAGAAGTTTTTGCGGTGGCCCCTTAGATGAGTCAGTCTAATCTATTCATTTCTTTGGGGACACCTAACACTCTTCCCTACTGCGGATGGAATTCATGACAAGCGGTCCTGCATTCGTCATGCAACTACGCATACCCACAAGGTAAAGGGACCTTTTGTCAGGACGCAACCCTTCTCACAGCGACGGTAAATGGCCTGATCCTCCGTCTGCGTTTCCCTAAAGAACGAAGTGTGAGCGCCTGACCAAACCCTCTGACCATGGTGACAGCTGCAACTCATGTGATCTCATTGTGTCTACAACGGACGCCACTTTTGAGTGGAATGATCGTAGCAAGTAGGTAAGCTGATTTGTTATGAGGACGCACCAGGCCAAAGTTGCACTTTCATAGGAAGTTGCCCATGCACATGGTCCTGTATTATCTGCCCATAGTACCGCTTAGGCCATTCCTATCTGCAGGCACACTTAGGGAGCTTTAGAGGACACCCCTAGCGGCTACTCAACTCTTGGTGCCCGCTAAAACTACTGCCACAAATGAGGGCCCAAAGGAAAAGGTTGCCAGTGTCGTTTTTACGGACAGTCACACCTGTGAGTGGTCCAAAACTGGCGAAGCGACGGCTAGACCTAGGCCAAGCACATCAGCCCTTAGCCCCTAAGTTGCTCTGACGGCTTCACGCCCCGTATGTGGCAAAAAGTGAGGTACGGTGAAAAGGAAGTCGCGGCTTTTCTATAAAGTCCTACGCACAGCACACGATGACACGGACGTCGATCCGAACTAGATTATTATCGTTTTACGTAGTTCTTCTGCATGTCATGAAGTCTACTTGATAAAATAAATAAATAAATCACGCTTACCATGACTTTCACAGTTTTAAAGAAGTTTCAGGCGTATATCTTTCATGAGGCTTACACGGTATCTATAAATGACAGTGCGTGGTTGTTTTCTCCATTTATTGGATGGTTATAATCGATCAAATGTTGTAAAATAGAGTTTTCAGGTGCCCTAATCTATCCTTCATATAGAACTAGTCTGGTATAATGTTCGGGAAGGGAACGCTGAATATGGCCAACTCCGCAGAAGTGGATAAAGGGTATCCTGTACATATCACTTATAAACTTAGCTTTGACATGGTTTCATCATATACCATTTCTTGATATGACTATCTCAGAGGGCTTTAATTCTACAGGTTGATATTAGTGTGATAAGGTCCAGTACCATTTGGATATTGTTCATTCACATAGCAAACAGAAGAAAAAAACTGGTATGTTCGAAGTTAACTTGATGTCTCGGACGTTATCAAGTGAGTCACATGCTTACTCATCTGAAAACTACTCACTGGAACCTTTCAACGACTGCAACCTTCGTCAATTTCAGCAACCATAACCTTAGACATATACATAAGTGATAAGAAAACTGGCTGATGAGCCATTCTACTAACAGATAAGAGATAATGTTTCATTTTTTTTCTTCACCTCATCTATAGTTTAGCCTGATGTCTAAAAGAATTTTTCATTAAACTGTCTTGATGTGTTTTCTATCCTAACCAACAAGTCAAGACTATGAACGTATGCTCCACATATATGCAGACAGTATCATATAGGTTCACAGATTTTCATCTTAGGTGGTATTGTACTGCACTGACTGCTGTGTGTGTGTGTGTCTGTATGATCCCATCACACTTATCTCGAGTACTATCTAAGACTCATTTGACCGATCAACACCATCTAGTCGATAACAATGTGTCATTCAGACGTATAAAACAGACGTGAAAGACGTTCACCTTACGTCATTGGATGTGAGGTGTTATTTTGGAAAATAACTCATTCTTAATTGATCTTCAGTGTTTTGGCTTAGTTACTAGGCCGCCAGTTAAACTTAGAAAGATACAAGGAGAACGGCGTAGCCGATAGATGAGGGTGAGTCAACCCTTCGTCGTCTGGTTGTGCCATTATCAAGAGATATTTTAAGCATAATCTAATACAAGCAATAACACTAAACCTATACCCGTCACACAGGAAGTGGCTGTCGTGGTTCGATGGTGTAGTTGATAGGGCTTCGGCGTTTGAAGTAGTTGCTCCCGAGTCCGAATCTCGGTGAGAACAACATCACTCACTGGGAGGCAGGTACATCTAGTTGACTGGTGAGTCCTAAATAGGACGAAATGTGCATCCTGGATTCAACTGCCCATTATTACTATACATGGTCAAAAGACAGGTAATATCGAGGCATCCTCATAGGAGCCCAAATGCTAACAGGGACTGATCATTTCAGTCTAATCAACGACGTTGTAATACAAGCAATAACAATGATCTAGGAGTGATTTGTAAAACAAAAATGGTCAAAAACACCCTTATGAATTGTTTATCTTACAATTTTACATCAGCGTAATATACTTGTGTTTCGTTCTGTCTTACAACTCAACAGTAGCGTGAATCTTTCATCAATTCATGAAATCCAGACCTTTAAGAAAGAACTAAGGGATCAGTTAACGCATATTCAGTGATTATGACCAAAAATTATCATTAACTGTCGTAATGTCTGAGTCTGTGACAAGATTTTAGTCATATGAATACAAAATTATGGTAACTTGAAAATAGACCGTGAAATAAAAATGATAATTGTGTAATTATTCCATACTTGATTTGTTCATCTAATATACTTCATAGGGAGTGATGGAGTAGTATTATTTACTGGATGATGACGTTTTGAGCAGAATTTATTAAATAAATAAATAGATAAATATCTTTATTCTCAAGTTACGAATTTAACATGAGAGAAATCGGTTTACAGGCATCATCAAATTGGTAATTACAGGGAAACATGGATGGTTTGAGCAGTTTTCAATGGTACAGGGGGAGGACATTAAACCCTGTCATGATACTAAGCGTATAAATGTTGCGAAAGTAGCACGAAAATACCACCCTATAGTACGCACACATTGTTCTGAGTTTAGATTATTCCTACTCACAATTCTTTTTTCACATCAAATGACGCAATATTCGGTGTTTGCTTTATGAGTAGCCGACATGATCGACCCATCTGCAGAACCCAGTGTTTCGTCAGATGGACATCTAATTTAACAGTAATTCTTATGTTTGTAGCTCTGTTGACCAACAACAACTTACTTCAGTGATTTCAGAAATAAGTAAAAATCCATACAATCATTTAATCCAGGTGAATGTCCAA